CGACTATTATTGCTATAACATATTGCTCATAAAATGAGCGCGCGAAACGCAATTCGGTTGCAGTCACAACAGTTCACAGCACGGCCTGTCTTAGGTCATAGATCAGATTAAAATGCTAAAAAATTGTGGTAAAATAACGATCTAAAAATGACAATTTACTCAAAGTTAAAACAACGGTTTTTACAACTTACTGTAAAGATCAATGGCTTTTACAAAATCAAGAGATCTGCCAGGATTAACGACAGAGAACAGATCTCCTTTCAGTTTCTTGCATTCAAAATATTTCCTTCGGGTCTCTCCAAAGCCTGGACATTCTGTAAAGAAGTGGCTGCTGGAGAAATCAGTGTCACATCCGACACAAAACGGTTTTTCATCTCCCAGTAGGAGGTACTTATATGGCAGGGGGGTGCATCCGATACGTAATCGAGGAAAAATGACTTCGTCTCTTCTGGAGAGGCCCCAAAGGTTTTTGATGACCCAACTTGGGCATGATGTTGTGAAGTTTATTGTTTATTTGTTTCTTCCAATGTGTTTCCTGCAGAGCGGAGGCTCTTTGACGCTATCTTTATCTCTTTTCCAAAACGAAGAAACAAACAATATACATTTGAACGCTGGTTCCTGTACTGAAGTAAGGAAGCATTGAGCTACAGGTCTGTGAAGCCATCAAACTGATTACTTAAAAATAACCCTATAAAACTAACATGATGCTGGTAAGTTTGAGTGTAGCGAAGAGGATGATGTACAAAGACCTAACTACAAAACTTTCAATGCCAATGCTGAAAAAAATCCCACACAAAAGTGCAAGAGCGTTAGGGTACACCTTAGCACAGTTCTTCCCTAGGTTAAAGAGCAAAAAACCTACGTAGCTGTTGCAGAATCGTCAAAACTACAACAGTAGGACCGAATATCACGTTATTTTCTTAATAACGGGATAGACTGTCTACTCCCGGCCCACAATACATATTATATTATATTATTGCAGGGAGCGGAGACGACTTATGGTGTACAGCTTCAGCGTCAACACACGACCCATATCCATACGATTTGGTAACCAAATGAGGAAGAAAAGCTTTTGCAGGTCTTTGCAATAAACCTTTCCGAGGATCGATTTCGGAAAAGGATTGTTGTATTCCCAACATGGAGAAAGTGATCGTCCGTTGTGAATAGCGGCGAGAAAAGAGAGACAGAGGGACGAGGGAACGGCTTCAGTTTATCAGGGAAGACTAAATGATGACTC